GTACTCCCAATTTTAAAAGTGAATACAAATTCCTGGATCAGCCCCTTCATCCAGATCCAACATTTTATGGTTTCATCCTTGGCCAGTGTCTCTTTCCTTCTAACAAGTTTTGTAACAAACCATCCAATAAACTACAATTGCACTCAGTAGAGTGAATACCAATGTGTCTACAAATGACAATCTAGTTTTAAAAAGCAGCTATAATCATCTTAATCATTATGGGAATATTTTTAATTGTTGACAAATACTGTAAATTAATATATATTAAAAAAATATCACTTACATGTATTGACCATTTAAGTAATTACTGATGACAAAAGTTAAAGTTAAATGTTACTAGGCAAGGTGTACAATTTTATAAAATAATAAGAATAATAAGAATTAAAAATGATCAAATACTTCCCAACTCTAAAACTGGAGCATCCAGGAACTTAAGGCATTTCAAATCTTGGTAAACCGGCATTGTTGATATTAATGATTGAAAGTTTTATCATCACATTTACAACATTTTAAATCTTTGGGTGTCTCCACGTGTTGCCTTCCCCCCAGTCTTAAACTCTTCATGCATATTGAAATTGCGTTATTCTGCACACTTAGCGAGGTGGTAAAATTAGCAAATTATTGAATCAAGGTGTTTCGCAAATTGTATCTTTACACTATTTCTTTCTGGCTTCCTCATGATGGTGCAAAACGATTAATCAAATTGAAATACATCAACCTTAACTTCCCCTTTAGCAGAGCACTGAACGCTTTCACTGCACAGCCAGTCGGGCAGAGGAGACAGCAGGAGCCAACGTTTCCCACTGGCTGCCACTTACCACTAATGTTAGAAAAATGATGAATTAGTCTCGGCATGGTGTTTGGAGTCGACGTGTTTGTGTGTGGGTGTATATGTGTGCCAGTGTGTGTTTTCTTCTTGCAAAGTGTTGTGTCGCATGCCAACAGCTCACAGTGTGAACAGATGTTAGTCAGTAATGCCCTGGGTTTCTGCACCACAGTCAGGCATTTTTTTTGTCCAGGGTCCTCAGCTCTGAGAAGGAGTCAGTGGAGATGCCTGAATTGCTTTTTCGGAACTCAACTAAGGACGCGCAGGCTCGCAGCGGCTGCCAAACAGCACACACAGACACGCAAACACAAACACAGCATTCGCTCAAAGCATGTGAAATACAAACCCATAAACAATACAATACAACAAACCACACATTCGGAATGATACCACACAGACTACAGGTTAACAGGAGGCACAATTAACTTGATAGGCTTCTAACAGAGTGATGGAGGCACTGCTGAGTGTATATAGAAGCTGCAGCTTTAAGGCCACAAAAAACCTAATCTGAGAGAATCAGTAAGCAATTTGTAGGGTGAAGAGGGGGGTGCCATCCCCTTTAAACCAAAATTATCTAAAATCCATCACCCTTGAAAGCCATCTCCTCTGTGTCATCGCCCCATCCCCTCCGAGGGAAAGTGCTCTGTGTGGAGACAGGGAAATTGTGTGTGCAGGTGAGTATCCTACAGTTAAATCTGCAAATTAAATTGCGGGATCTGCAGTTTATTTTTAAGAGTTAAAACCAAATGGCTTAGAAAACATTCCCTCTATCACTTCCTGTCATAGTCAGATTGCACCAAGAGAAATCCTACCTGCATCCAAGCCTGTTAAAACATCCGTTACTGTCCTTGGCAGGAAGGCAGGACTCGCTAATAGTACATACATACAAATATACATACAGATATACATGCATTTATACTTCTGACCAAATGTATTTATGCAAATATTTTTCTGACCAAATGTATTTATGCAAATATTTTAATGACCTATTTTTCTTATAGTAGAGTAGGTTTTNTTTGTAATCTGGATGTCTCTTCTCCTCGATAAACTTTGTGGCCATTTTAATATATAATCTCTTACTTAAATAGTTGGCCTACAATATAAGCACCTCCGATGAATAGAGTGGCCTTTAAAGGAGTCAAATTTCTAGGATGAATTATTGCGTCAGTCTTCCCCGGCAAAGTCTCTCATCTGCTTCCCTTCATTTTTACCCTTTGCTCTATTATAACACCTTTTCACTCAGATCCAGCCACTGCTCTCTATATTTAGCTGCTGCCTGTCACTGAAGCCCTGATGAAGGAGATGAAAATGAGTAGTGATGCAGGAGACCATGGGAAAGGTTAGAGCTGTCTCTTTGAATAGAATCAGACACTCTCTGATCATTTACAGTTATACTGCAGACTCTAATATCTATACTTAGGTTTGAAAATCACAGTTAGAATTTGCATCAAAGATTTCAGCATCAACATGGAAAGAATAGGGTTGTCACATGTGTCATATCATGTGTATGCATAAACATAAATTAAAGATAAATGTACATCACACATTTGAGTTAGAATGCAGTGACAAATTTGAGCACACATACGGATGGATGTGGACTCTGTCAGCAGACAAAAGATTAGCTAAGTCAGTCCTCCATATCTGAAGTGATAATCATGAAATGATGCAAATGTGAGACAGCAGACACACAATGGTTGGCACAGACACATAAAGGACTGTATCCATGACCTGATTTTCAGAGCGGTTCTCTCAAGCATGTATTGTTGCTGGGTTACAAAAAAAATCTTCTAGCACTTCAGTTTTCTTCAATCATACGTCCTGAATTGTTGATATTGGAATTCCCACCCTCTTATCGATTTTAATTGGTCATGGAGGGAAGAGTTCCAAAAGTTAAAATGTTTTTACTGAGAATGCCACAAAAAATTTTAAATACGCTGAGGACGCTTTTGTGCCGAGGACATTAACTCAATCACATGCACAAGTTGAGATAAACCCACAGAATGTCACACATGTGACATTATGTGTGACATTATTCAGGAAACACTGACAAATGGCATTAATATATATAAGTCTTTGTTATATCACTTAACAATTCAACCAGCTAAATTCAGCTCTGGTATCCTCCATTTCTCTTGATCATCTTTGAGATGTTTCCACACCTTGTTTGGAATCTACCTGCTGTAAATGTATTTGATTGGTCACATGTATAAGGTCTTACTGAGGATAATACCTTTTTAGATTAAAACTCAAACTGTTCTGAGATAGTTTTAGGGAAAGGCTAAAAATAAATAAATTCTGCTGAACAGAGCATGTCTGTTCTGGTGAAACAGAAATTGAATTGTTTGGCCTCAATTCTACACATCATGTCTGGATGAAAACCAGGCGCCCCTCATCACAGGCCGAATACAATTCTAGTCCCACAGCTTCATGCTGAGGGGGTCTTTTTTAGCGGCAGGGACAGAGAGACTGGTCAGAGTACAGACATAACTTTAATGAAAACCAGAGAGCTCAAACTGGGCCTATCAAGTTGACCTTCCAACAATGACCCTGACCACACCGTGACTTCGGGACAGCTTTGTAAATGTCCTTGAGTGTCCTGACCTGACCCCAATCAAACATCTCTGGAGAGAGCTGAAAGTGTCCATTGCACCAACAGTGTCCATCCAAGCTGGCAGAACGTGAGAGGATCTCTAGAGACGAATGGTAGTGCAAGGCTTGTTGAGTCATAACCAAGAAAACTACTGAAGGGGCCTCAACAAAGGGCTTAAAGGATCTGAAGGTTTTCATCAAAGTGATGTTTCAGTCTAACTTTTGTAATACATTTACAAAAATTTTTTTTAAAAACTGTGCAGAAAGTAAAGGGCCCTGGATAGTTTTTCTGAACAAACTGTGTTCATTTGAAAATTACCGAATATGTCTTTAGGTGGGAAATCAGAGTGTTTGGGTGGGAAGCCAGGTTTCAGAGTGGAGTCAATGCATGGATTGTTTACAACACACGTACCATGGTAAATAATATAATATCAAAAACACAATTACTGTGTTTTTGACAGTGGTGCTGTGGTTACTTTTGTATGATGACCCAGGTTCATTAACAAATTACAGAACTCCGACAAACGTGGAAGGTAGCCTCCAAACATTTCCAAAAACATCTCTTCTAAGACGTGGCTGCAGCAAACAGAATGAATTGGGAAAGTTCACAAGTGTCTTTTTTTTCTCGGTGTGCTGTGTTTCGCTGCCCCAGGGTTGTGTACTTACGCAATAAGCTGCCTCAGGGAGCCAGAGGCACGCTGAATTTATATGAACTTCACTCTTTGACATGACAGAAAAAATTCATACGAACACAAAAACATAGACACAAATGTAGAGACACACACACACACACACGAAACAAAATGTCACAAAGTAAATAATTTATAACCACGGATTTTGACTTTATTTGGGAAGTTTTTTTACTCGAGGAAGGCAAAGCCTCTATGAAATACAATATGAGAGAAGAGTCATTTAGTACGAAAGGGGAGGATAATACGCTAAAGGTTTGAGCTGTTTGAGCAGAAAATTTTAAATTTGCATTCTCACATACTCTCTCTCCTAACTCCTCCATCTCGACTGTCCACTGAAAACAGTTTTAGCAGCAGAAAGCTAAGACTTAATTGGGAAACATAATGAAATATTTTCAAGGGTCACGGGGCTGATATGCTAATTATTGCTGCCATATGAGGAGGGGGGGGTTCCAGGAACAGTGACACTATGGCTTGCCCAAGTTTCTGTTGCAAAGCAAAGTCGTTGTGTTTTTGTTGGCACACCCTCTATAGCACTGCCAATGGTTGTGATGCATTTGTGATGTCTGGTCCTCGGACATGGGCATATTTGTGTGTTTGTGAAGTGTGTCATCATACTCACAACATTAAGTCCTGCGTTTGTATTACATTATGCATTTTATACTCCCTGTAAATTTGCTGTTATTTTAAAACATTTGTGTGTGTCTGAGTGTGTGTGTTCAATTTTGTCTTTAACCCCAGTGTCATCAAAATCCATCGAGCTGATGAATGCAGCACACAGCACGAGTACCGCTGTTCACACACACACACACACAAACAGACACACACACACACACACACAAACACACACACACACACACAGATGAATAAAAAAAGAGGAGGGGGTTGCATGTTACCTGATGCTGCTCATGCTGCCCGCCTCTGATCCAAGTTTGCATCTCTCCAGCTGGGTCGCAACGATCTGACGCTCAGCCTCAAGTTCCCTGGTCAGCCGCTCAAACTGAAGCTCCTGAAGAGATAAAGAGGAACAAAGCGTGTGTGAGACAGAGCGAGTGAAAATGCTGGAATTCTTGTGGGAAGCAGCACTGTGCTTTTGCATGTTACCACATGGAAGCATATCAATAGTGCAGCGAATTCAAGCCCACTGAGGACGTGCGACCGAGCGCGTGTGTATGTGGGACCAAGACAGTGTGTGTGAGCGAATAAGTAGGGAGAGGGTGCGCTGGTTTGATTGGTTTTCTCAAAGCCATTTGAAGCTCTGAATGAGTTGATCCCCAGTCTATCTCAAGTCTCCCACTTCAATCCCCTCTCCTCCCAAAACACTACAGAGCACAATGCAATTCATCTCCCCCCTTTTCACACATGCTTTCAGCAATTTACTCACAACTTTACACACTCTCTCTCCCTCACACACACACACACACGCAAACACACACAGACACAAAAGTAAACCCCTGACATATACAGTACATATGTAGTACAAGTGGAAGTAGATCTTTTGTCTGACTGTGGGAAATAGAAGTATTACCACAATGTGCATAAACTAAATTTGAATTTCAATCAATGCTAAATACAAAGCACAGTTATGCAAAGGGTTAAAAAGACTGAGTTTCATTTTCTACAAAATATTAAAAAATATATAATATAATGCAATATAATGTAATATAATAATTAGCTTTTCTGTCAGAGGTAAAACCCCAAATTCTCACATTCCAATCAAGGGAAATTGAATGATAAGGCCAGAAAATATATTAAATTTATTATTTATTCTTGTTATTCTTTCTCTATATAAATCTCTACACTCTGCTTTCTGGAATTCACAAGGAATCATCGAGTCAAGCCACTGTCGGCATCACATCCGCATCCACTTTCCGCTGACTACACAACAATGTTCATTTGTCTTGGTGCATATTTATGAAAATAAAGATGAAAGTTGATGATTCAGTCAGACATTCACAGTTGAAATCATTGGAATTGTTGAACCGGTAAAGTGTATATGATGTACTTGCTATTTTAAAATAGTAGCTCTTTCACGGCCGAGCAGTTTCGAATAGAGAATGCTGCAGACAATGGTATTCTTATTTCTGATTCTAATAATTTAATTTGAGATGAGGTGCCACCACAAGGCTCCAGACCAGGGAGTGAAGGAGACAGGTACATATGAGAGCGTGAGATAAAGAGAATCACTGATGCTGCGGACAATGTCACTGTGTTCTTAAAAGGTAAAATATAGCAGTTTTTCCACTGGTCAAAAATCATGCTCACATCCAGTAACATCTGGCTTTTGTCTGCAATGGGAATGGATACCATCAGCATTCACGCCAGGTCAAATGACAGTACACACAGGTTTTTAATCGGGTCAATGTGCTAATTTCTTCGTCATTTTAGCACTATAATGTCAACGCTGCATTTTTTCGGTGCAATATAATGATTGGCATTGAACTTCCCCAAAAACAGCGACGATCGTTGTGTAGTGAGTTCTTTCTTTACCCTGGGAACAACCTGCCACAAGAATGTTTCCATTGTATCGTTGAGAGATGCAACACTTGCATCCGCTGGAAATATTGAAAGGCAAACTCCTCTATTTGGTCCAAAAGAGAAAAGATCTAAGCTATGTAGCACGCATGCAGATAATATGAGACAAAGTGAAAAAAGAGAACATATATGAATATATACAAATACACATAAAGATAATGTTACCATACTTTACATGACTGCCCTTTTTTCAGGTTAGAAAACAACCCCTCAAAATGTCAGTGAATGCCACTGAACCATTCACCACATACTGTGCTCTCATATGCTGCAAGCTCACATAGAAATGGTTAATAAGAAAAACTTGCCAGGCACGACTCCCCTCCTGCTTTCCTCTATTCATTGTTCGATACCTCCTGTCAGTGACTCGTATATGTAAATAACAAACTAGCTGGTTCAGCCACCCTTTGATTAACAAAGCGAGGTGACGCTGGGAATGTGAGCGGGGTCTACTAAACTCTGTGGACCCATAATTTTAAATTACCGCTTTGTTTTTACAGTGAGTTGCTTCCTCTCAAAGCCCTGCTCCGCTCCCCCACTGCAGGCTGCTTTGTCACCTTGCCCCAGCTGCAACTATATTAAATCCTTAAGGTGTAAAAATGTAAATCCCTGCACCTAAAGTAGCATTATGCTAATTAGAGGTATATATAATACCTCAACAGTAAAGTATAACACCCTTCTACGGTACCACGGTAAATGCCTGATCTGTTACGTCAAGTCTGTGTTGGGGTGACCCTGTTCAGTCAGCGTAGCAGCTTCTGTTGCTCTCAGCCAATCAGGAGGGTTCATGTTAGGTAGTCAGTATGCATGCTGCTGGTTGGTTGAGCCAAGGGAGTTGTGACGGAAGAGTTGGGTTCTTCTGGGGCTCTGGTTTGTTGTTGGGATCTGCCTGAGGGAGTTTGCCTTTACCCATGAGCTTCTGTGAGAGAGCGTGTTAAAAAAGCAAGTGATAAACTGACATCTGGTGTCCCACTATGTGCAGGGTTGGTGAGTCCACTTACAGGTTTCATTTGGGCTCTTTTCTTACATGTTGGGACCCTAAAAAATAAGTTTTTACTGGCTCTGTCAGTTATTTACTGCTCCTCTCTGGTCCTCTATCATTCAAACTGCACACCGCCAATCGAATCAAGGCAAATAGAGCATGCCTCGCCATCTCCTCTGGCTCTCCATACAAGTTTACAAATTCTATTGTTTTTACTGATCACCAGAGCTTTTACAGTGAACGCATGTACATGGACTATGAGTTGACTCCCAATTAAGGGGTAATCGACATTTGGAGGCTAATTGCGTCACAGTGGTGTGACAAGACTGTCCCATTTCAAAAGCTACGACAAATGTGACCTTTCAACCCAGAGAAACTAAGTCTCCGAAAGGCGGATCATTATTGTGCCTTTCCCAGGATTCATTGCACTTTGGTGATACTGGCGCCGGCAAGAAACAAGACGTCCGATACTTACACTTTAAAATGTCAGTATCACATTCAACTCAACCAAACAAAGGGGGATTAAAACTTTAAATCATATCCAACTGCAGCATTGTTTCTATAGGAAACAGCAGCAGGGTGCAATATAGACATACAGTGGCTTGCTGAGTTAATCCCAATGGCAAATGTCATATGTAAATTCAAGCCCATACAGATGTGAACTAGCACCTGTGTATACACAGACATATGTTGACATGAAATCCTTCACTTTGGGCCTTCAGTGAAGCAGTGAAGGCACAATACAAGGATGATGTCTGACCTCCCTGCGGGGGAGGGCAAGCGAAAAGGAGACAGTGCTACAGGGATTCAGACAGCATTACATTATACGATGGAAAACCCACTGAGACAGCTCTCTTTAGAATAGAAACATGACCGGGTTAATAAAAACACCATAAAATAAAAAGTGAATTCTTTTACAACCATGTACTGAAATTGCCATTTGCAGCTTTTCATAATGTGACTCTGTAAAAAAAAATGGCTCCTGCAAGACAGAAAATAATGGACCAATTGTAAACCAGGTGGATTTCCAGGATCCAGCCTTGTGCAGTGCTCCTAGGGATTTATATTTGTATTTGTGTGAGTCTGCGGGAGTGTGTGTGCATGTGCGTGTTTCTTTATAATGTACAGTATGAACTTCACAGCTTGACAAAGAGTTTATTCTCATTATAAAGTGTCTGGGGGGTTTGCCCAAAGACAAAAGAAGAAAAACACAGACAGCTTTTTAAAGCAATAAAAATGGGACTAACACATTGGGACAGAATGCAGGATAATGTAGCTGTGGTCTGTGTGTCAGAGCTTTTATGGGATAAATAGCCGCCATGGCCTCATATTGTTTCACCAGTGTTAGTGTAAGAACCAGCATCAGTATAGTTCTTTTTCTATTTAAGCTAAGTTTCTTGTATTATTACCATAAAGCGAGTGTGTGCTGTCTGTGTGTTTCTAGAGATAAAGTCCAATCATTATAAAGTGGCCTATGGGCAGCTATTAACACTGCTGGTTTTGGATGAGAAACAAAAGGCTATCAAAAAGAGCTACGGCCCTCTAGTTGGGAAGTAACTGTCTCTCTCTCTCTCTGTCTTTCATTCTCTCGCCTTCCTCAATCAGCTCAAAGGAAAGAAAAAAACTGAATGAGATGAGTGGGAAAGAGAAGTGCAAATGGCCGCTGGTTAAAAGGTCACTCTCCTATGTCACTCCTTTGGATATTAAACTTTCCAACAGCAACAACCCCCCATTCCTCCGTTCTAAAATCATAGCTGTGCGTTTGTGTGTAGTCTCCGTGTGGTTCAACGTTCTCCCCCTGCTACTTGTCTGTCACTTTAATGAGTGTGAAAAGTCAACCATGAGTCAAGAGGAAAGTAGTATAGGGGAGGAGGAGGGGAACAAAGACTGGAGGACAGAAGAGACAGATGAGACTTTGATGACTCCATTGATGAAAGTCATATGAGACGATGGCAGAGGGAGGGAGACCTGATCTACTGCCACTGCGTGTTTGCAAGAAAGAGAGAACAAGAACAATAGAAAGAAAGGACGACAGATGACCATATTGACCTAATCATGATGAGTCTAAGCATGGGTTTAGTGTTAAAACAACAAAATGTAAATAGGAGGAGGTTGTTGACATGGGAGGCCACTGTTCTTGTATTTTAGTTTGGCCCATATCCCACTCACTGACATGGAGGAGGCAGGGTTCATGACCCTTACTGCAACCACCAGGGAGCGATAGACTTTGGCTCTATTTTGGGGAGTCATGTCGTCCATCCTTAAATACATCTTCACAAGCAGTCTACACTTTTAGCCATGACTGTTCAACAGCTGTTTATCAGAACACAAAGATCCTCTAACCTTAAAAATATTTTTTATGCATAAACTAAACTATAAGATTTATTATTTGATTATTACTGTTACAATAACGACCAGGGGGAGATGATACCTTAATGCAGTGGTAAGCATAGTCACCTCAAGCAAAGAGGTTCTGCGTTCAGACCTCCCAAGTT